GTGCACATCATAGAAAAATTCAATCAAGCTAATTAACATATCCATCACTCACCCACGGATCACGTTTTCGTGGTGAGAACGGTGGGTTTCTTTGTTTTTAGCTGAGGGGGTCCAACCCAGCGTGGGCTTTGGGAGAATCTGGGTAGCAGCTCTCATCCCTGAACAGCACATACAAGGGGAGCAGGGCAGGTCAGCTCCCTTTGACTTAACCAGCTTTTACTTAGTGAATAAAGAAGCGTATTTCTACCCCAAACATTCCAGCTGCCTGACCAAAAAAATAAAGCAATCAAGAGGATGCTGGGTGGTGAAGATTCTGAATCAGAACAGAGGGAAGGCACGTTATTATTTCCTGTTGCAATTTAAGACCTGACCACTAGATGGTGCAAAGGGACCACAGATTTTGTAGTTGCACGTAGCCCTCCACAAAATTCGTTAACTGTAATAAGCACAATGAAGGCTTTCCAAAAGTAGAAAGAATAAACAATTGTGTTGGGATCTGAACATTTTGCTTTTATAAAATTGGGACTCTGCCATTTCATTATTGATACAAAAATCTTCTGCCTCACTTTTTTTCCCTACAGAATGTAGATCCCAAATCCACCCTAACCTCGCATTTGAAGAGGCCCAGGCAAAGCGGATATCCAAAAGTTGGATTCGAAAATGCTTTTTACCTTGTGCTGCCAAAGGTAATTTCATTAATTTCACCTCAATGTCGTGACGTAAATGCTAGTGGAATCGGCCCCAAGCTAAATAAGCAATAAGCCCCATTTTTCAACACACAAACACATAAAGATGTCAGCTCAAACTGTTTACTAATTAACACTTAAAAAGACACAAATTAGATATGCGTGGCTAAGAGCAATTATAATCAAGACGAATTTCTCTAGTCATTTGGGAACTGAAAAAAATGCCTAATTGCTGGAACCAATGTTTTAAAAACTGAAATCACGCCAGTTAGCAAATATGTTCATTTAAAGAACATTCCACGTGACTACACTCTTGAGGATTGACTACAAACATGAGAACAAGGAAAATATTTAGGTATAAAATTAAAATTTTAAGCTCCCTTAGATTTATAACTTCTTCATTAAATATGTCTGCAAACAGCAGCCCATAAAAACCTGTAGCAATTAAGTGGTTAAATGAACTGCCTCCCTTGTCAATTTTAAGGGAGTGATTAATACGAGAACGTCCCTTTACTAATTAGACGCTCCCTCGTCTTTGAGCTTTCAAGTCCAATGAAAATGGAGGTTGTCTGCTCACCAGGAAGCGAGGTGGGCTAATGAGTGCTTCCCTCAGCCAGGTCTCCACGCGCACTCTGGAGGGCAGGAAGGGTGTGCGCCACGGCTTCGGGTGAGCGGGCAGCTGGGGGCAAGGGCTCTGCATGGGGCTGGCGGCTCTGACTCCCCACCCCACGCCCGTGCATCCCGGGGATTGCTCACTCCTATTTTAAAAGGCTGCAGGTAGTTATGCATGAAATGCACCCGCGAGGCCACTGCCGCCCGACCCATCCTGGAGACGAGGGATGATGAGGTCCCTGAGGGAGGCCAGGCTGGGATGCAGGGCGGGCAGGGCGCTAAGGAGAGGCTAAGTGGCCCAGCTTGGGGGTACTTCAGAGGCTGCCGCCTGGACCGCAGAGCCAGGGAGGCCGGGGATGGCTGCGGGGAATCCATCAGATGGAGAAATGGGGCAGCTGCTTACGAGGGAAATAAAGAGCGGCAGGGAGGAGAATATTTATACACCCGTCTTCTCACTCCGAGGGAAGACGCTTCATCACGGGTCGGCTGCAAAATTACACTCTTCCTTCTCCCGGCCAGAGCAGCTTCCTGGGGCAGTGGTGGACCACGGCCCCAGAGGTCCCTGCTGCCCTCCCGCAGAGCAACATGACTGCTGCCTGGACCCTTGGGGCCCAGGGACAGCTCATAGCCGTCAAGCAGCTGGGGGGACGCTCTGGTGGCTSCTGTGGCCGCGGGGAGGAGCCAAGGTTCACTTCCCCCTCCTGGGGCTTGTTCACCACATCCAGGGCGGACACGGAGCCTCTGTTCTGAGCAGCGGGTACATGTGGGTGACACATGGATGGTGGCTGCTGGAAGGGGGGGCAGACAGGAGGCCTCGAGGCCATCACTGGGAGCTGGGGGTGACGGCAGTGGAGTGAATCTCTTTATTAATCATGGCTTCATTCTTCTTTAACCAGCCACCTCAGAGCACATCCCAACCGCGAGAGGTCCCATCTTTCCAAGGATCGTGGGGACAAACCTGCTCACTGGCGTGTGCACCGATGTCAGATTTCAACATGATCCTCCACGGCTTGTCCAGGAAGCCTAGCTCAAGGTGTGGCATGTACCATGTTGCCCAGGAGATGTGCCCTAGGGTCAGACCTAAGCACCAGATGGGCACCTACCCTGGGCATGCAGATGGGACCTGTGTCCTGTCCATACTGCCTGCACCACCTCCAGTCCATGGAGGTCTCTGTAGACCCCTGGTCTTGGTGCTGACCTGTGGCCCTGGGCTGCTGGCCTGTGCCTGTCCTTTGCTCTCAGGTGTCCCTGGCTGCCTGAGTTGAGTGCCACACTCTCCCCTGAGGTCAGCAGCCTTCTGGGGGCTGAGGGTGAACTGCCCACCACAAAAGGGCGAGATCTTGTCCCCTGCCACGTGCTTCTCAGTGCCAGGCAGCTCAGTGGTCCTGGCTGGGTGGGTCAGAAGGACGGGGCCTGGCTGGAGTTTACCTGAGGCTCTCCTGCTCAGGTCCCACCCACAGCACTCAGGGCCGACAGGGTCAGGGGCTTCTGAGGTCATGGGGTGGGATGGGGCTTGGGATGAAATTCAGAAACGTCCCCCACCTGCACAGGGTGGCAGGAAAGCAACCTGGCTTGGGGCTAAAGGGACAGAATGATAAGCTGCCTTCGGGTGGACAGGCTACTTCCACTGAAGTCCTGATCCCCTTGAGAGGATGTGGCGTGTTCAGCCAGGGTCACACTCAACCCCACCCTGCCCCGAGTGCTGGGACCACCAAGCAGTCCCACTGGGCAGGTGGCTTGACTCCTTGAGTCTAGTGTCCTGCAAGGTGGGAGGACATTCTGCCCACAGGGCAGCCTAAGGCCTCTCCTGCCTGCCGAGGACGCTGGGCAGACGTGGGAGGCGTCTGGGTGGACAGGAAGCCACAGAGGTCGGGCATCTGTGCCTGGGCCCAGGGGCAGTCTCCCACGTATTTTTCTGCATTTTCTTCCTCATTTATTGGCCTTGGTTTAATAGTGTCAAATACACGGGCTTCAGGAGCAAAGCAGATTTCTAAGCTGAGGTCTTGGGGCCCCCAACCGAGGCAGCYGGACTTGCTGGGAATGGGAAAAAAGGGGCAAGAAGAGCAAACCATCTCGGGGACACCTGCTGCCCTAGGCCCGCACAGCAGGGCCCGAGAGCAGAGGCCCCTCCTCCGTCTCCAGCACCCCTCCTCCGTCTCCAGCTCCCACCGGCCGACAGGCCCCTGCGGGTTCTCTGTGGGCGGGGGACGGCTGAGCAAAGAGCCTCCCCAGAGGGTACCAAGGACTATCCAGCGGTGGACACTGGAGTCTGCTGAGCCCGGGCTGCAGCGCTCGCCGTGCTCCGTGTTGCCTGGTCCCCACCGTCCAGCGCTCCTGGCCTCCCAAGCCCAGATGTGCTCTTCTTTACCCATCAGTGAAGATGAGGAATACGGCGAGGATTTGTCAACTGGGGTGACTCTTGGCGGCCAGCAGCTGGGCGTGTGCCCTGAGGGGCTGGCTGGATGCTGGGGGTGATGGAGACCACACAGGTCACAGCTGCACTGCTCCAAGCCACACAGGCCGTCTCAGTAAAGTGTATGAGTACTGTGAGCTAAGTGTCCTTGTCACCATCCCGACTTTACAGCAAAGGGAACTGGGGCTGGCAAAGCTCGGGTGGAAAGGTGAGGTCGAGCTGGGCCTGCTCCAGGAGCCTCCCCACCCCCGGGCTTTGCCTCAGGGGCTGCCACACCCATGCAGTGACCTGGTGACCTSGCAGCACTGAGGGGAGTGAGCTTGCTGTCCTACCACATGCCCTGGGCCCTCCACTGGCCTCTCCTGCCCACCCCATCCCTGCCACTCAGCTGCCCAGCCAGGGCTGGAACCCAGGCGGCCTGGCCTCTGAGACCAGTTGTCCCCATCAGCCAGAGGATCTCCTTACAGGGACATGGACCCACAGACCCTAGCCTCATGGAGAAGAGTGGGTCTCAGTCTTGTCACTTGGAGCCTCGAGTCTGCCAGTCGGCCGGGGTGAGAGGTGGGGATGACGGCACAAGCCGGAGCCCAGAGCTGTGACGTGGCAGGTACGTGGGGGCAGGACAGCCGGGGACCAAGGCACGCCGCTCCCTCCCCTCAGCACCCCCCAGCACCCCCCAGCACGGCCTTCCTGCGGGGGCTCACTGGGCGGCCTTCTCACAAGGCCCCGCGGTAAGCTCTGTTGTTCTCCCCTTTGAACAGAGGGCAGGGGGCTGGTTCACATGTCTGTCCGCTGGACCAGACCGTGGCCTATCTTAAAGAGCCCAGGTCAGGCCCTCCACCTACAGCTGGAGCAGGCCAACCTCAGAGGCCTTCCGTGCACATCCACTGGGCCCCACACAAGATGGCGTTCATACGCAGGTGGCCCCTGGAACCACCATGGCCGTCTGCTTTTGAGAAGGGCAGACAGGAAATTCCATGTGCACCTGCCTGTTTAATGCAGTCGCCAGCTGTTTTTTTTCCTAAGTTATCAGAAAAAAACAACCCCCCCCCCAAAAAAAAAAAAAACCTATAGGTGACAGTCGGGTTGGTTTTTATGATTTACTGAAAATCAAAGACAAAGGGGGAGTTTTTTGTTTTGTTTCTGCTATGACAGGTTTAGAAATTTGTTGTACTACATTGATTCAATTTTCCTTGATTTCAGCCATCTTTCAATAATGCAACCTGCTTTTGCTAGCTGCGTACACTGGAGAAAACCCCAAGGAGCGGAGAATATTGAAATGGTCCTACCATTTCCATCTTTGAGACAAATGTTCCTCTCCGAGGAGAGCTGGCTGCACCACGTGGCTGCTTCACAAGCTACGAGACAGAAGGGGCGACGCACACGCTGATGCCGTCTCATGAAAACAGGAAGGAACCGGCAGGTCTGGCCTCCAGTCTGRTGCCACCATCTCAACCCCGTCTCCTCAGAGCCGCGCCTGGACTCTAAGCCTGGACGGCTTCCTTTTTTTTTTTTTATTAGAAAAACACAGAACACTCCCAAATCAGGCTGCCAAATGAGGTCTAATTCATCAAGCACAAGGTACCCTGATCCCTCCTTTGAGTCATAAAGAGGTCTGATCACTTCCCTAGGACTCTCCTGGTGGCATATAGTATAACAGGGAGAAAGAAAGGTCAACCCCGTGCCGGACCCCGGCCTCTACCTTCACTGAGCTGAGACATTTTAAACAGTGAAGCTGTGCTGACAGCTCCCTTTGTTACTTAACACCTTTAATTTACACATGAAGATGGGATGTTGGTCATATTTGGCTGGAAGAATTAAGTACATTAAAGTGAGTAGTCCAGGCACGGTGGCCACACCTGTAATCCCAGCTACTTGGGAGGCTGAGGCAGGAGGATTGCAAGTCCGAGGCCAGCTTGGGCAACTTACACCCTTTTTCAAAATAAAAAGGGCTGGGAATATAGCTCGGTGTCAGAGCATTCCTGGGTTTAATCCCATTAATGAAGGGGAAAAAAGTGAGTTATTTTACTTTTTTCTAATAGATTTAAATAATATATATGTATATGCATGTGTGTGTATATATATATATATCTTTTTTTTTTTTTTTCTCAGAAGGGCATCCTGCACCGGCTGTTCCCAGGGCAGCCCACAGATCCCTTGCGGAGGGTATACCCTGTGGTGGACCAAGCTGGCCTGCCCTTCTCTGGGTAGCCTACTTACCTCTTTCTCAATTTCTGCTAGAGATTTGATGGTGATTCCCAAGAGATCAAAGGGCTGCATCTGAAAACAGATCAACAGCCTTTTAACCGGCTGCAAAACACGGCTTCACGTTTGCACCTATGGGTGTCAACTGGAAAATCTTGAGCTACGCTGTGGGAACCCGCATGCCTCCACCTCTTCCTCACAGGACTCCACAGTTGTCAGGGGGGCACAGGGATGAGTAGTGGGGTGCAGGGTGGCCACAGAGAGCAGGCATGGCCCTGAGCTGCAGGCTCACTGCTGGGCCACCCAGGCGCTCACGGCCTCYGGAACAGTGACAGTGGCAGAGGACTCTGCCTCTCTTCTCCCACATTCAGAGGAAAACGTGGGCAGAGCTAGAGCTGTGGGGCTGGGGGTGTCACCAGAGATCACCCTGACCCACTGCCCAGGGTGGCAGTGGGTCCTAAAGATTTCCAGGAGTCCGTGGTGTCTGGGGCAGGAGCTGGGCGGTTCCGGGTCTCTGGAAACAACTGCCACCGACTATCATTTGTGAACTCAGTGGTGGTGAGAGATGATGACACTGCATTTTAATGGGAGTTTCTATAATTTTGTGAAAATAAGGACTTWAAAAAAAATTGCTGGCTTTTCAGCGTGAAAAACCAAACACACAGGCAATGAGCGTCACAGATACCCACGGGAGACTGGGCTGGATACGGAGGAGCCCTCTGAAGCCCCCGGTCCACGTCCCTTCAAACCCTGTCAGCTCTGTATTTCTGAGAGGGACACAGGGCCCAGCCTCCTGGAGTCCAGGCCAGCTGCTGGTGGCCTGGGAGGAGCAGGTGGGCCCTGAGAGTCACCCAGAGAACCTGGGGCCTTTGTGGTTCTGACCTGCGGCAGCCTGCAGGGGGCAGAGGTGACGCCCACATGGGCTGCGGGGACTTCCTGGGTGGTGGTAGCAGGAAGCCAGCTCTGGAGTCTGAAGACCCAGATGCAGAACCAGCCTCTGGAAATCCAGTGCAGATGTTAGGGTTTGGGTGTGAGGTGTCCCCAGGACACCTGTGTTGGGCAGCAATGCGCGGTGAGGTGCCTGGGTGGCGAGAGCTGAGACGCCGTCAGTCCTTCCTAGCTTGAAGGAATGGGGGCGGGGCGCGGCTGGGGAGCTGGGCCACTGGGGCGTGCCCTGGAAGGCAGCAGCTGCCCTGTGTTCCCGCCTGTCTCTCTGCTTCGCGGCCACCATGAGGTGAGCAGCCCCCTCCCCACACCTTTCCGACACCATGCTCTGCCTCCTCTCGGGCCCAGAGCAACGAAGTTGGCCCACCATGGACTGAACCTCTGAAACCATGRGMCCAAAATAAAGCGTTCTTTCTCCAGGCTGAGCTTGTCCGGTATCTGATCACAGCGACCATAAAGCTGACTACCAAACAGCTCAGGCCACTCTTCATTTCCTCACCTGGTAGAAAGTGGCTTGGGCCCGGCCTCCTGGCCAGGCCACTGTGGGGTTAAACAGCAGGAGTGCTTGTGGCCTTCAGTGCTCKCTGAGCCAGCAGCAGCACAATCACAGGGGCAGGGGCTTGGGRCAGGGCCACCAAGTTAGACACCAAGAGCCCCTGGGGCTGCTGTGCCAGTAGTCCCAAGAATGCCTGGCTCTGTCTGCGCTGCCAGCCTGCGCGCATGAGGACGGAGCCGCCTGCCTGCACCGCCAGGGTCCAGCAGGGGTCCAGCTGTCGCGTCGTTAGGCCCTAACTACCCACTAAACTTCCCGACTGGAGCTGGTGAGCGGGCAGCGGGCCTCTCCAAGGAGCTGTGGGAGAGGCGCCAGCATCTCCATGGCAACGGGGCCCAGTGGAGCYGCGGAAGTTACTCGAGCTCCGCGTGTCACGTCAGGAGCATTTTTCAAGATTAAGCTGCTTACCAGAAGGGTTCAGAGGAGGCCTATTATATTTCATGAAAATGGAAAGTACAGAGCAGGTCAAATTGCAGGCCGGGTGGTTTTAAGCTGGCTCCAAGAAAAACAGCGAGGGGCTCTTTAGCGGGTGCCCAAACTGGGACTTCGATTTGGAGCTACTCAAGGCAATCTTCTAGAGAAAGCATAAAGCCAGAAACAAGTTTACCAAACTGGTGTGGGCCATGCCTGCTGCCATCCTGGGGCTGGGGCATCTGCTGAGAGGGTCCCCAGGAGGGCCAAGCAAGCGGGCAGCCCAGCTCGGGCTCTTGTGCACGGCAGGTGCCTCTCACGGTCTGAATTGTGGCCTCCAGTCTCAGCCAGCTCACTCAGTCTGTCCCCCAAGAGGGCTGGGGAGTGGGAAGACCTTGGCCAGAGGTGCTCTGCACCCTCGGGGGCCTCAGAGCCAGAGCAGAGTACAGTTAGACCAGAATGCAGGAACTGCAAGGGGGGAGTGGGGAGGCTCTTTGCTACAGGAAACCATCATCATTAAACAAAAAAGAACAAAAATTACTAAGCTGAACACAGAAAACGACCTTCTCAACCCGAGAAGTGTGCCTCAATTTGGCACCACCTTTGAAACGAAAAGGCTCCCTGTGTGCCAGCCTCCGCCGTCTCGTGCCCCCGACTCCCAGGTCTCCCCACGCCTTCCTTCCACCTCTCAAGCACCTCAGGTGCAGGAACCAGCCAAAGGGGCCCAGGGGKGAGCAGCGCCACCCCAGCTCTCAGGAAGCTCCTTGGGTTCCWCGTGTAGGCAGAAGGAATCTGGGGCAGGAGTGTGGGCATGCCTGGAACAGCCCGAGGGAGACGCCAAGGCAGAGGGGCTTCAGAGGGTGGCAGAAGAAGGGGCAACTCGGCACAGGACTTACACTTTCTGGAACACAGGAGAACTTCTCTGAAATCATGAAAGGCACACCATCCATTGCTGCAAAAGAAGAAAGGAGAGAAAATGGCATGAGGCCACCACCAATGTTCACTGACGTCACCCACAGAGGGTTCGAGTGAGCCCGAGCAGGAGCCCGGCTCCCAGGACCACGACTGGAGGGGACAGGCACACAGGCACCTCCAGCCCCCAGCTGGAGGTCTAGACAGCCACTCCGCCCTCCACCCGGGGTCTCTCCAGGCTGTCAGTGGTGGGAGCCACCAAGGGGCTGACAGCAGGGAGGGGACACTCAGCAGGGAGGGGACAGTGCTGCACTCTGGGAGGTGTGTGTTGGCTAGACGTCTGAGCGGAGCCAGTGTCTCCCCAGGCTGCTGGGCTCACAGGTAAAGCCTCRCTGGAGGAAAGAGGGGCTCTGGAGTCGCTGACTGGGCACAAGTGCCWGCTGGGACTGAGTGAGCAGCCGAGGTCACATGTAGAAGAGGACAGCCCCCAGCAGAGGGYTTGGCAGGCAGGGCGCATGTGTGTGCACACAGGCTGGGTACTGTCAATGACCCTTGGTCACAGTCCCGGGCTTCAGGGCTGAGGCAGGCTGTTAGTCTGATTTTAACAGGACCCGAGGGCAGGGGCGTGGACGGGTATCCAGCYGTGAGGGGACCAGGCCCAGAGGTGCAGTTCCTTTCCTGAGTCCTCCCCACACTCCACCCGCCCTGTCCCCAGCTCTCACTGTCAAAGGCACGGGGAGAAAGCACAGCGTCTCTGCTGGCCCTGCGTCATGACAATGGCAGAGCACTCGGTGGCCACACTGCCACTGGCCACCTCACCACATGGGGGTGGCCACGAGGGACACAGTGACAGGGGCTTCCTGGAGAGGGTGTTAAGCCCAGGGGCTGCTGGGAGGAGCCTGAGCAGCCAGGCCATGTAGCCAGGCGGTGGCCAGGATGGCGGCCTTGCCAGGGGCCAYGACTTTAGAAGAAATGGAGGGAGGGACAGACGCCTTGGTGGGTGGGTGCCCTGGGAAATGACATCCTCCRCTCCCCCAGGGTCTCCTCTGGTAGCCAAGGGCTGGACAATCTTTCAGTTCCAGGAAGGAAGAGCAGCAGACGCAGAAAGAAGGAGCGCGGAGGAGGACAGGAGAAAGAGGAGAGCCCGGGGCCGGCCCCTCCGTCAGCAGGACGGCCGAGTGAGCCAGGCTCGTAACTGATCCCAGGACAGGGGAGAAGGAGCTCTGTCCCAGTGTGAAGAGCAGCAGGCAGAGCGAGGCAGGCTCCCACCACTGCCTGGGCACCTCCCCTCCCTGGGAGGCGYGGTCCTGAGCACGGGTGGGGACAGGACACTGGCAGGCAGCGGCCATCTCCCACTGCAGCCGCCCTGTGACTGACTGTGATAGACCCCTCTGGGGATGAGCCCTGAATGGGTGCCAGGGACACTCCCCGGCAAAGGGGGTGGAGCAGCGAGGGGCAAATAATATTCATTACCTGTTCAAGCACCCCAGTGGCCGTCCAGCACCTATGTATGTTTGTTTATTTATACCTGGAAGCCATTCTGTGAWTAAAGGATCCTTTATTCATTCTGTGAATAAAGGTCCAGAGCRGGTCAGAACCGAGTCCCACCCACATTGGGGAAGAGGCCATGCTGGCTCCTGCACCACTCATCGGCCACCACTCGCCCCCATGACACCTGGGTGCTCTGACTTCTGACCCTTTGATGCTGTTGACCCTGGCTGGGCATGCAGGACTCACGCCATCTCTGGTCACTTTGCAGATGGGGAAGCAGAGACCCTGGAGAGGATGGGGCTTGCCAAGGTCACACAGGTAGGAAGCAGTGACCCCCCAAAGCCTAACTTGTAAAACTTGGATACCAATAACAAAGCATTTTTACGTACACAGGTATAATATGTATCAAATACATAGTTTGAAAATAAACTGTGGTACACATAAATCTGTGCCACAGCACGTGTATTTGGGGTGTGTTGTGTGGACAGCACGTCTACACTGGGTGTCAGGCACACACGGTTCTCTCTGAGCTGCTGGAGACCGAAGGGCATGGATGGCGCGCACAGCCGGGATTGGGGGGCTGCTGGGCCATGGCCGGGCCGCCTTGTGAGCACACCCAGGAGCCCGCCTTGGGCTCACCTTCTGTGCTGACACAGGCAGAGGGAATTCTTCACAGAGAAGCTCCTTGAGGCGCCGAAAGGTAAGAAGATCAGAGGTGACATCACTGTCACACACACCAAGAAGGCCCCGGAGAAGGAAGAGAGGAGCGTAGCCACGGTGCCTGAGGAGTGGAGGCAGCTCTGGGCGCTCCCGGGTGCTGGCAGCTGGCGCACGTCCACCTGGGCTGGTGACAGAGGGGACTGGAACTGCCTGGTGAAGTGATGGAGCTGAGCCGAGGGCAAAGGACCACCTGCCTGAGAGCTCACGCAGAAGGTCGCACAAGTTGCCCCCCCCCACTCCAGTCTTCTAGAGCACAGACTTAACCAGCGCAGAGAGAAGGCCCAGCTGGCAGGATCTCACTGCTCAGGAGGAGCAGGACTCCCGCCAGCACAGGAGGCTCTAAAGAACAGTAGAGTCAGGGGAGCCTCTGCCGGAAAGGAGAGGCCCCGACCAGGCTTCACAGATTTAACCAATCAGTGGACCAAAGATCCCGGCAGGCCGTGAGCAGCGAGCGTCAGCAGAACCTTGATGAAACTTCTTGTGTTATCCACTAGACAGGCAGAGAGGGACGAGTGGAGACTATTAAGGTTAGGAGATTGCCCACCGGCCTGGGCATCTGAGGGCAGATCAGCAGGACTGTTACCCCTGCAACCTCTCTGAAGGGCACCCAGGGCGTCACCAGCTACCTGGACAAAGACGCGTACGGGATGCCCATCTGATACGCACCTGGGGCAGCCTGGAGGGTGAGCCTAGGCTGGGAAAYAGCACAGAACCCAGGAGAGAGCTCAGAAACTGGGGTCCTGGGCCACACTACCCGGCGGAGCTTACTCAGGGTTATGTAAAGTCCTGTAGTTTAGCTCCCCAAATCCAACTGATTCAACAGGATGAAAGCAACTCAGATAACAGGGAGAAAGGAAGGCAGACTTTCAATCATGTGACCTGACGGACAGCAAAGGGGAGGGCCACCAGAAAGGGCACAGTGCCACGCTCCTGGTGCCAGGTCAGGGAGCCGCTCATCTTGCTGTGCTCCAAGCGTGGTGTGGTCTCGTGTGTGGGGACTGCTTTGCACAGGGTCATCCCCAGAGCCTCCAAGGAGGCCAGGGAGGGGACTTAAAGCCTGGCCCCATGAGGCAGAGGAGAAGCAGCCATAGGCCTGATGTCCCAGGACAGTGTGAGCCTGTCCACTTTTTTTGCCATGTCCAACAYACCCCAAGTCCAGCGCTGTGCCCAGCTTGTGGGAAGTGCAGCCAGACAGGGGGCACCRTCCAGATAAGACCCCACAACATTCAGGACCCACAGGAAGAGAGGCCAGACAGATCTCCCCTTTTTGGGGAGACTGTGCTGTCCTGGGGAAGAGGCATGAGGAGGTAGAACAGGAGCTGCTGACCAGGGTCCAGCAGGGCCGCTTGTTGGAGAGCCAGGGAGGGGCCTGTGGGATGTTGGCTCTACWCTCCTTCTCTGGGCAGCCTTTCTACATTTAAAGTGCCCAGCACTTGCCACACGGGATCCTTGAAACCAACGGCAGGCACTTTTCACGCGTCCCTGAAGGCGCTCCTAGATCCTCCCGGCCCTGGGGTGCCCTCGCTCCTCCCTCTCTCCCCTGGCGGCAGCCAGTGCTCCCTCTCTACTCTCCCCCCACTGAGGCGCTGTGATTGCCACTGAGCAGCCGGTCTCTCACTACCCTACTCAGGGTGTCACTCTTTGAGGACCTGGTGACATGCCCACACTGCACATGGTGGCTCTGCCAATCAGCAGGAGTGAGGGTGGAGCTTCTCGYTGAGACTTCTTGACCAGTCCCTAGTCACAACCCAGAGGCAAGGACGGTACCTGCCTTTCCTGAGCCAAAGGTGGCATTTCTGGGGCACACTGGCCCTTTCTCCAGCCCCTGTGACCCCCAGGGTGAAATACAAAGGCTCCCCCAGTCTAGGAGGGGACAGAAACTCTCACCTAGTCCAGTTCTATGATAGAGAGAAAAGGAAAGGAAACCCCGAGTCCTGCCCAGACCAGGCCACGGTCTTGCGTCAAATGACCTGACCCTCCACGCTGCCATCCCAGCTCACACTCCAGGACAATGACATGGAGGAGCAGCGGGCTGTGGGAGGATCYGCCCTGGGGTCTGGCTGGCACTGTGGGGGGCTGTGGTGGAAGAGCGTTCCTCCCAGCTCCRTGGCCATGTGGCCACACCCCAGCCACGCCAGCCACTTCACCTACCTCACCTTGGAGCCTTCACAGCCCTGTCTGTGACATGGGGACGATGCCACGGCTGGCTCAGGAGGCTGCAGTGAGAGTGAGAGCAGGKCGGGGGGCACAGAGGTGGGGCCAGCGTGGAGGGAGCCTGCCCACACCTGGTTTCTGCTGGGACCAAAAGCCACACACGGGCAGGTCTCCTTTCAGCACCAGGCCAGCGTTTTCGAAAATTTCCTTTTTTTAAATTTTTGGTGGCAGTTTTAACAAAACGCTGATCCACGGCACAGAGCAACATCCAGTGGATGAAAGTAAGGACGAGCCGCAGGCTCCGCAGCGCAATTAGCATTCTCCTAAACAAACGAGCTTCAGCAGAGCTGTAATTAAGCAGGCCTGTAATTAAGTATATGCCCTTTATCATAACGATCATGCTTAAAAATGGCACGATGCATGGAACTCTGTTATTAATGCTGTAATCCCAGCTGAAGTGCGGGTACATGGAAATCAGCGTGTCAGGACTGTCAGCAGAGTGTTTGTAAAATACATTAAAGAAAAAAACCAGAAAACAATGAGCTCATTCAACTGTTCTTTTTACAATCAGGCACTACAAGTCAAGAGGATTGTGCATGCTTACAGATTCTGCAAGGTTTAAACAAATAAAGCTCTCATCTGCTGCTGTCGGGGCCCCACCCCCATTTTAAAGAA